CTGGAAATAATCCAAATGCCAATCAACATGTAAATGGTAAGTATATGGTGAAATAAAGATATGTACGCTAATTACAACTGGGAATAAAAAGGAATAAAGTTGTGATAACATGAAAAACATGAGTAAATGTTTTTACAGTAGAGACTTTCAGTTTTTCAAAATAAAAAGATCTCTTGAGATGGTTGTACACATTAATGAAGTTACTAAACTGTACACTTAAATATGGTTAAGTTGGTAAATTTTGTATTACACATTTTATCACTTTGGGGGTGGTTTGAAACAGGGTCTCACTATGTAATTGAGACTGACCTGGAACTCACTATGTAGCCCTAGCTGGTTTCGAACTCACAGTATCACTTTTTTTTTTAAAGGAGAAAAATCATTCAGAGGAAAGAATATATTACACATAGAAGAGTAAGAATGAAAATAATGGATCTTTCTCTAGAAACAGTTAAAAATAGAAAACTATAGAATGGCATCTTTCAAATGCTGAAATAAAATAGAACTGTGCTCCAGATTTTTATACCCTGTAAAAATCTCTCTCAAAAATGAAGGTGAAATCAAGATACTTACAGATAAATGCAAGCTTGGAAAATTTTTTTACCATAGGATTCATATGGCAAGAAATGGCAAAGGGAGCTCCTCAAGCTCCTCATCAATAAATGGTAAAGGGAAGAAAATAGTTGGAAACTTCATTGGACAATGTTTAATTTTTCTTTTCAATACTTACACATATGTTACAAATTTACAAGGGGAAGAAAAGCCTATAGTTATAAAGATATTTACTATTTCTCTCGTTATTCCATGATCCCAAAGACCCATGTTTCCTTTTCGGTACCATCTTGCTTCAGCCTGAAGAGAACTTACCATTTCTATAAAAGCAGATCTGTCCTGGAAATTCTATTTTTCCTTTGTCTAACAATATATTAGCTTTGTTTTTAACTTTGAAGGATACTTTTACAGGATATAGACTTCTGGATCAGCAGAGCTTTTTGATGTCCTTTTCCACTAATTTCAAATATGTTTACCTTCCAACAGAATACTGCTGTAACAGAGGTTTTGAAGTTTATGTATGAACTGGATATGAAGACATACACTTGTAAACCCAGCACTAAGGGAGGCTGAGGAAAGAGGATTGCAAGTTTGAGTCCTACCTGGACAATTCAGCGAGAGGCCGTCTCAACAAACCAAAAAAGGATATAGAGATAGCTCAGTGCATAGGCGCCGGGTTTAATCCTTGTAAACATACATATAGTGTACCACCCCCAAACTATGTTTATAATTCCAGAATCTGGATTATCTGTCATCTGTTGATAATTTCTGACTGCAAATTCTGTCTTTCCTTATGTGATAGCTCAAGTCTTAGTTCAGTTCACACAGTCTTTGTTAGGCTGGTAACTCAAAGTAAGCCTAAGAGCTGTATAGTTTCATGTACAACATTCACAGATTCCCATCTCCAGATGTGTCTGTTTGAGATATTCACACTGCTTCTCTGCCTTTTGGCTAAGATGAAGTATATCTGAGATAGTCACACCTTTTTAGCTCCCAAGGGGTTCCTTTTACCCTTCTACCCAGAAAGATGGGGTTTCTCTGAGAGTTGTGGCTACTTGCCTCACTGCTGCTTACTGTTGAGACAAATCAACGAGACAGAAAATTTACTGCTGTAAAGTCCTTCTCCAAGTCTTTCTCACCTCTATAATCTTCCCTTTATTTACTTTTCAGAAGTTTTAGGTTTTATACTTTGTATTTTGTTCAGCTTGTGTAGTTGTAACCAGTGGGAGGTACAGTCTAAAGTGGCTTTCTGCCATAGTGGACTTGGAATTTGTAAACTGCTTTCCAAAGTTTCTGTACCTCTCCCAAAATTCACCATGTATTTACCCGTATATTTAAAAAATTATAATAATTAGTTTTAAATCTTTATAGGTCAGCTACAAGATCTAGGTTTATCTTTGGTCTGTTTCTATGTACTGAGTTCTCTCAGCTATGAGTTAACTTGGAGATAAACCTTCCAGGTCACAGCCCTGTGGTCTGCCTCCCTTGGCCAGGCCCCATTTCCTAACAGCAAGTCATTTACAATACCCTCTTGGTCCAATCCTCTTCTTTTTTTTTTCCCCCACTTGCCTTCTAAAATACTCCACCTATGAGCGCAAGAGGTTCTTACTGGACATGCAGGTATAAACCATCTTAAGTACCTTCAGTTTTTTAAAACAACTTTTGTCCAGAGTTTGTACCTATTACAGTGGGTTTAGTAATGATACAAGCTACTCTACTACTACTACCATTCTCAGAAACCATATGGTCTTTCTGGACTTAGGAAAGCTTTCTTCCATCCTCCTTCCCTTAGAATTCTACAAACAGTATTGAACTTATTTTCTCCAAAAATCTCCATGAGACTGATCATTACCCTCTTGCCTTCTCATGTTGGCAAGTATAAAGATGCAGAAAAACACAAATTGGACAAGCATCTACAACTGCTGCCTCTTCAACTATCTATATATGTTCTCCTTTCTCCATTATGTCATCTCTCTTCAACACAAATTCATGTTTATAATGCATCTACAATGCTCCTCAGTCTTATTTTCAAAGAGTTGTGACATATTAATACAAAAATGTACAGTAGAAGGTAGAATGTACTAAAGGCTGTGAGAGAGATAATAAAAACCTGGTCTGGCCAGGCATGGTCGCACACACGTGTAATCCCAGAATTTATGAGGCTGAGGCACGAGAGGATCACTGCAAGTTCAAGGCCAGCTTGGGCTCCATAGTGAGTTTAAAGCTAGCCTGGATTACACAGTGAGAACCTGTCTCAAAACAACAACAACAACACCTGGTCTGGTAATTCACAGTAGAAATTAATTCCAACCACCAACAACAACACCTGGTCTGGTAATTCACAGTAGAAATTAATTCCAACCAAGATGACTAACACCAGATGTCCAGAGGAGGAAGGGTACAGAGGGTAGTTCACAGTTGTTAACTAAAGCAGACACACTTGCAAAGTTGTCCTCTGATGCTTTAGCTGTATCATGGGAGTGGAGGTGGTAGTAGTTAATATTACATAATGTGTGATCTGCAGACAAGCTACATTGGCACATCTGGTATTTATCAGAAAGGCAGGATCTCAGGATCCTGGCTAGGCATGCTGAATCAGAAAGAGTGTTACAACAAGATGCATACTGTTATAAGATGGATATTTCACATGCATTAATATTAGCTAGCATTAGGAATGTAGGATCTAAATTTTCTTATTCTCAAATAATCATATGTGTAGCAGAAAGGGGAGGATGGGACCCACAGAGAACAACTGGGAACATGTACTGAATATCTACTACTAGGTACATGATGTTTGTTTTGCCATTTCACATTCATTTAGTAATCCTTTGAATCATTCAGTACCACTGTGGAGATAAGAAAATTGAAGGTCAAGATTAAGTAAGTGGCCCCAAATAAAGAAAGAAGAATCTTGATTTGAGCCCATCCATGACTGATATACCAAAGAGTAACATGTTCTTCATTGCACTTCATTACGCTGCCTCTCTGGTCTGTGGTTCAGGAGAATTAAGTGCTATTTACAGGTTTGCCACCAACTACTTCAGTGAATCGGGCCAACTCAATCTATCTTTTGTAGAACTCAGTTCTACATGTGTAAGCTGGGGAGGTTAAGCCAGAGAAAGCTCATGTGGAAGGAATGCTGCTACTTCAGGAGAGCGGGTGTTTAAGGCTGCCTTAAGACTGAGTGTCAGGAGCCTCTGGTATAGGGCTAAATGACTCAGGAAAGCATCAGTACAGCAGGATAGGGTAGAGAAGACGGAAAGAGCGAATTTGGAAGAGCTGGGTTCTCATCCCACCCCTGTCATTTGGTAGTTGCAAGCCTCAGTCTCTTGACAATTAAACAGTTAAATTACCTACATTGGCTATTTCTCAGTTATGGGACAGGTTCAAAAGATACTATGAAAATATTCCTATGGACCTGCTTTATTAATACAGCCATTGTTCTATTTGCCTTAATTTTTATAACATCAATTAGATATTTCTTAATTTAAGAACATGATTTGTAGTCTACCTGGCAATGGCTACAATTGGGAACTAGCTCTCACAAATCCTATTAGCTTTGTGTGCTTGTTTCTCCTAACAATGGGAATAAAAGGTAAAGTAGGTATAGGATCTGTACCTGTGAGAGAACTACTTGAGTTATAAGAACAAAGATCATTATACTAGAGCAGGGAGACTTCACTCTAGAACTTTGTGTGATGATGGAAATGTTCCACATCTGTTCTGTCCAGTACAGCAGTCACGTGAGTCTAGTGAACACTGAAATGTGCTCAAAGTGTACCAATTTAATTAATTCAAATAGCCCTTTATGAATAGTAGCTACCATACATAACAGTTCTAGAGCAAAGGTGAGATACGGATTTGTTCAACAATGTTAAGGCTCTATAGCTATACTTTTTTCTTTAATCACAAAAGCTTTAGTCAGGCATTGAAAATATCAGATGACAAACCTTTTCAATTTATAAGGATTTAGAGAGGCAGAAACTAGGGCGTCATTTGTGAATATTGATATTTTTTATGTAAGCAGTACAGGAAAACCTATATATAAATTAAAACCTAATCTTTTCAATAAACTGCTACCTAAAGGTCAATGTTTTATTTATTATAACTACACTCTTAAAGGCCAACAAATAAATTTTGTTATTTTGCAATTCTGAAACTCTAGCCCCTAATGCCCCTTACTTCTAAATCAAACAAAACATTTTTATAGCACACTTTTTTTGATAAAACGTTTCTCTGGTACCCAATCATCACTTAGTAGCGACACAGATGATATCAATAAAATGTAAAGGTTACATAAACAAAAGTCATTGTTTGTTACACGCATGTCTGTTTACACAAAAAGACAATATTTTACTCCTTTGTCTTTAAAATTAAATCCAAGGGCTGAAAACACTAGGTCCTGTGAGTGGTCACTCACCCAAGGAATGGCAGTAGCCAGCTCCTACCTTGCGTTTTCTGTTCTCCGGCTTATGCACTGGTGCAAGTAGAGATACTCCTGAGGTGCGCTGGTGGACAAGGGGGGCTGCATGTGGTTTGACATAGGAGGCTCAAACGTGAACAGAGTTGGCTGGCTGGAGTGTGAGGGGGTGGAGGACTTTTGTTCTCGGAGTAGGTGCTGACTGGAGCTGCTGAGCTCAGCTGGTGAAGAGCGTGGGCCATGGCTGGCTGAGATGTTTCTCTGAGAGTCTGTGAAAAGGAGAAAGGACTTGAGTGAAAAGGGAATGAAAGGTGTTCTTACCCTAAAGAAGGTTGACAGAGGTAGAGAGAAAGTGTGAAGAGCACAGGTGCTAATCTAGCAATACTGTTCTCTCCCCCACACATCTGCATCCTCTGCCCTCCCAGAGAGGAGCGCTGGTACCTCTGGGCCATCCTGGTTGAATGTGAGAGTTGCTCTGTTACTTTGTCCCATTCTCAGAGTAGCCTGGAGGTCACAATGTCTCTCAGGACCTGGGATGGATCTGCTAGACCCCAGGTGGTGTGGCTACCTAAGATCTAGGAGTGTGAAGTCAGCTTCTGGAGTAGGGAGCACCACAGCCTTCCCCCTCTCTGGTGGTTTCTACTGTCATCACCTTCTTCAAAGCTATGCTGACATTGTTAAATGAAGCACTACAAAACCCACTGAGGCCCTGGCCTGTGCCTTACCGCTTTACTGATAAAAGTGAAAAGTGTCTTTGGAGCCGCCCCCTCAGACTTGACCCAAGCTCCTCCCACCTGCTCTTGCAAGTCCTGTGAGGAAAGTGCTGGCCCAACCCCACCACTCTGTCCACTGGTCTTTTTTCCTCTCTGAACTCTTATCTTAAAACTCTCCTCTGTTGTGTTAGAAAGGAAGTGAGGTGTTAAGGACAGATAATAGCTTTGCTACACCCAAGCCAAAGGTATTATTCACTGGGCTGGCTCTCTAAGCTTGTCCAAATTCCTTAGCATAACATACAAGGATATTCACAGCCTGATCTATTTCCTGCTTTTCTCCACCCATAAACAAGGCATATGGAAGCATCATTAGTCCCTGAACACACTAGCCTCTTTTGTGATTTTTGTTTTGGCTTATGCTGTTCCATCCACCTGGATTTCATTTCTACTCTCCTGGCAAACTCATATGCAGATTTTACAACCCTACTAGGATATCATAAGTTTTTTTTTCTGAAACCTTCCTAGACTTGGTTTTTCTTCTGCTTCTGGTTTTGATTCTGCTTCCATTATTAGCATGATCCCTTTGCTTCCTTGCCTAGCCCTTGGGTTTCTGAGAACTGTGGCTGTGATGTTGTTATCTCTACAGTCCCAGCATTTATCCAGTGAAGGTCTACATAGTTTCTTAGTAGAACAAGCAAAAACTTTCACTGAATATTAAAAAATGCCAACCGTGCCACTGATGTTCTAAAGAAATAAAGGTTGAAACTAAGTTCAGGTGATGTGCTAGCTGCTGAGGCAGTGTTTTGGTGATGGTAGAGAAGGTCAATCAAATCCTATCAGAGGGACACGGTTCTCTATCTACTATTTCTTGTTATCTGACCTACTTCAGGCTGTGTCCTTCTCATGGCCCTAGGCAGGATCACCAGCTCATTAATACACCACAGTTCTAATTACTCTCCAGTCATTTTTTTGATACTAGGCGGGGCATCTTCTGCCAGTGTATAAAGAAGCAAAGCCAATGGGCCCCTGGGGAAAAACTGTTCCATTGGCAGCTGTATTGACCCAAAAATGAATTCCCACTGCAGCTCTCATAGTGACCTGGACATTTGTTAAAAGAATCAATACTTTTATTACTCCATTAGATTTGCAGGATGAGCACTCTTAATGAGAGAGGGCTTATGCTAGGGGACACAGTAACCATGGTGCAAGGGGAGGAGCACAAGCTGCTGCCTGAAAAGACAAGGGAGGTTAAAGAGAGTTTCTGATGAGATTCTATATTCCCTGTTATCGCTGACCTTCCCTTCCATGGCGGTATTCCTCAACCGTCTCACAGCCTCATTCTAGGCCTGGGTAATCCTGTCTACTCCCAAACTTCAGTTGTCATCTGTGTGAGGACCACTCTCAAATCTCAACCTTTAGCTCAGTTCTCCTTCCTGGGCTCCCTGCTGCCTTCTCCTGCCCCCGGGATCCGCATTCAGGTGTCCTACAGCTGGTCAGTATAACAGTTTAAACAGAGCTCATCACTCCCATGTTTCCTGTCTCTGTGAAGCACATCAACATCACCATCCCATCAGCTCTCCAAGCCGTAATACTTGGCATCGTCTATGCCTGACCTGTTTCTCAAAGGCCACGTCATGGTTATGTTACTGTCCCACATAAGACTCTTTAATGAACTCAGTAAAGGCAGTGATTCTGTCTTTTTTGTAACGGTTCTATTCCCAGTATTAGGCCCAATGTGTGACACAATTTAATGAATATTTGTTGACTGAACAAATAAAATATGTAGCACAAAAAATCACTATTCCCTCACAGCATGCACTATCTATTGCTTTTAGAATAAAGCCATAACAAAGGCATTCTATCATAACTTTCTTATTCTGTCTTGTCATCCAGTGCATCCTTCATGCTCTCTATGCTATATGGTTGGGCTGTGAGAGTCTGAATAAAAGGGGCTTAATTCTTAATTTAATTCTGCAGCCCTCGGTCTTGAGCTCAGTCTATAAAATCCTATACATGACCCTGCCTATTTACGTGTAGACCTGTGTGAAGTCACTTCACCTCTGGAGTCTTGTTTCCCTATTTACAAATCAACATAGGGTAGTTAAGGGATGTAGCTAACCTTACTCATCATAGGTATGCAAAATATGTTCTAATCACTTTTGTGATTAGTTCCCTGTAACTAGAACTGTCCCACCACACAGCAGGTATTCAATACATCCTTGTTGAATGAATATAAAAAAAAAAAGAATATTTTCCTGGCACAAAAATTCAAATAAAAACATTAAAATATTTATGTTCCCCATGGCCACAATCTGTACTTCACATTAAGATGAAGTAGAGGGTTGGGATGAGTTAGGCCTTCATATAACAGAAACTTATTCCTATCCCACCAGCACAAAGCTATGTTTCTGAAACCAGCTAGTTCCATGTAAAGGTCCCTAACTCCAGAAAAGTTCTCACAAAGCTGTTTTGACACTAAGTCTTGCCAAAATTCTACTTCAGTTTTCAATTTTAAAAGATCTCTGCCTGAATTTGTGATTATTTCTCAGTGCCTGTACTGGGTAGAATAGTGTCTTTCCAAAACTCATGTTTGTGTGAGCCTTAGAATATGATCTTACTTGAAAACAGGTCTTTGTAGATGTAATTAGTTAGAAAGTCATTTTGGATTAGGGGATACCCATCCAATGACTGGTGTCCTTATAAAAGCAAACAGACACAGAGACAGGGAGATATAGGGGAAATGTCACATGACAGAGGGAGAGATTGGAGTGATGTCTCAGAGACAGAGAACACCCAAGATTGTTGCCAGCCACCAGAAGCTAAGAGAGAAGCACAGATTCTCCCAAAGCACCCAGAAGGAATCAACAGTGCTAACACTTTAATTTTGGACAACTAGTCTCCAGAACTGTCAGATAATTTATTTTTGTTGTTTTAATCTACCCAGTTTGTGATAACTTGTTATGACAGCCCTAAAAGTCTGCCATAAAATCTAAAACTTCATACAAAGTCTTCCTGCTTATCCCAAGAAAAATAATTATAAAATTCAATTCAGAGACCAGTTTTCTGGATTAAGATGTTCCCATTTTAGACTCTGTAGACAGAGTAGCCCTGCTACCCCTATTCTGATGAGCAGCCTGTGTGTCTTCCAAGTCTCTGGGGAAGTGTTACCTCCACCTTCCCCATCAGCTGGAGGTAGGGACTTCAGGCAGTCTGGCTCTGTGCTGTTCTCTTTTGCTCACTGAAAGCTGTTCCCTTCAGATGGTCATTGCCTCGGATAAATGCAATGCGTTTTACATCCACATTCTGAACAGGGCTGGTTTAAGGCTCTATCGTCACTGCATGTCACATCCTATAATCAAAGTTTTCAGAACTATTTCCAAACATTTTATAGAAAAAAGCTCCACAGTATGATATGTTTAACAGAAACAAATGGATTTTAGCAAGTGGGAGATCTGACTCTGGATCTGCCTTTAGCTTGCTACTTTTTCTTAAGCAAGTCACTTTGCCTCAGTTGCCTTATCTGTAAAAAAGGAACTATTACTACTTGCTCTGTGTTTTATCATAGTGTTGTTAAGACGATTGATTTAAAACATCCCCCTGGCTCCGGAGAAAATGGTATAAATAAAGGATAACATTAAATGAAGTATGGTCCTAGACAGTAAGACTGTCATAATGATGTATCTTGGATCCTTAGAGAGGTCAGTTATATGGCAAGAACAGAATGGAGGCTTCCAGACTCCTGGCCTGGACTTCTGTCTATATGTCTAGACTAAAGATAATGCTCACAAATGCTTGAGTCAATCTGTTTTCTTTTACACAGGGTTTTATTTTTTCCTTTTCTTCCAGGCTTCTTTTTAGGTCTCTACAAAATCACTCCCCTTCCTTTCTATAATCACCCCTGGGAAGCCTGCCCAACATACAAACATTCCTCCTACCTTTTTGCAAAACTCTAGAACAGGAAAGCTCTGAAGGATTGCAGCAGAGGATCTCAGCCTAGGCCAGCCCAGCCATCAACTGGCTAGCGATAACAGGGGCAGGAAAGGGGAGGCTGGGGGAGTTTCTGGAAAAGATGACTGGCCAAATAATGACTAGTTCCCTTATCTCAATGCCCTTTTTATCTTTATCCCTTCCCCAAAACAATCCCCACCCACAAGACTGTTGGTCTCAGAACCCATAAAGTGGTAACCCAAGGAACTTATTGGAGCAGGGGCTGGATTGATTCAGAATTTGGCTGTTAAGTGAGAGCTCTGTGACCTTGGACATGCTAATAAACTACTTTGATTCTCACTCATATGACAAGGGTAATACATACTTCGTAGGGCTGCTGTAATGATTAGAAATCATTTTATATATCACATTTAGCACAGTACTCAGTGGTTTTTATTGCTTCTCTTCTGAATGTATACATAGAGCTTGTTAAGACCCTCGGATTATCCACAAAGTATGAGTTGCTTTCCAAGCCACAGTAAGTGCTTGGAAGGGAAATGTCACTATTCTAGTTAATTACATCGTGTAGAGAAGTTATATAGAGGACTAATGAGAACCAAAAAGGATAA